AGAGGGAGAGAGGAGTGAGAGAGAGGAGCAGAGGAAGAGAGGGAGAGAGGAGTGAGAGAGAGGGGCAGAGAGGGAGAGAGGGTTAGAGGGGGAGAGTGGAATTTGACCAAGGTAAGAAACAGCAAACAGAAACAGACCCTGACGAAGTACAGGCTCAGTGACCACAGCCTGGCCATAGAAACTGGGCGACACAGGCAGACCCGGCTGCCCAGAGAGGACAGGCTGTGCTCCCACTGCCAGCGGGGAGAGACAGAGACAGAGGTGCACTTCCTACTGCACTGTGACAGATACTCTGGGATTAGACAAACATTCCCCAAATGTACAAATCTAATCCCAGAATTCCCATGCCTGTCAGAATCACAACAGGTCCCAATCCTACTGGGAGAGGGAGGAGGGAACTCAGCTGATCTGGAGGCCCAGTATGTGATCTCCTGTCACAGCCTGAGGAACAGTGAGCCTGTCTCCCAGTAATGCTCCATATGTTTGTGTGCGAATGTCTTAGAATGTGCCCACATTGTAAATGTCTGTAGATGTTGTGCCAACTGTACCTGCTTTGGCAACACTGAAATTCGTTGGTCATGCCAGTAATGCTCCTTGAATTGAATTGAGGAGGAGTGAGAGAGCAGAGAGGGAGACGGGGACAGCGGTCAGTATGTTATAGTGGTGGAATAGGCAGGGAGACAGTGGAACACAGAACAAGAGGAGAGCAATTCTCGCTGGGACAAGCGGCGAGGAGGTGAGAGAGATAGAGAGAGGGGGCAGACAGGACTGGGAGGGAGAGGCAGGGGCAGTCACTCACTGGGGCACTGGGACACACAGATGGTGCCGTACTGGTACTTGGCACTGGGGTTGGGCTCCAACTGGAAGGTCTGCTTGTTGTAGATGAGAGGCTTGGGGCACTGGGGTACACAGGCCCCGGAGTCGTTGAAGTGACTGCAGGCCTGGAACACACAGACACACGGGATATCGAGCAGGATGTGACACTGAGACCGCGTGAGGCAGTGTGAGTGTGCATGTGGGACATGGACTCACAAAGCAGTCTGTGTCATGGGGTCCCGTGCACCCCCCAGCACACTCGACATGGCAACAGTCATTGGGGTCCCTCCCAAAACACCGGCTGTTGCACTGCGGGGCGCACACCGTCTTCGTCACTGCAGAGAGAGTGATACAGCCAGCTGAGAGACGCAGACAGACAGATGGGCAGACAGGCACAGACAGGCAGACAGATGAGACAGGCAGACAGATGAGACAGGCAGGCAGACGGGCAGGCAGACGGGCAGGCAGACGGGCAGGCAGACAGACACAGACAGACAGATGGGCAGACAGCCGGG